CTGGTTCCTCTAGGGTTCCAAATTGTCCCAGTCCCAGTTGCGCCCAGTCCCAGACAAATGAAGGCTTGGCCAAAATATGCTGATTTAGCAAATGATGATCCGGTGGCTGCACTCACCACTACGATTCAAGAGGCTGCTTTATTCAATCGTGAGTCGGGGGAGGAGATCCTGCTATTATATATACCAAAAGAATTCATTGTGTTATGTTGGCTGCACTCACCACTACTATTCAAGAAGCCGACACTTAGCAGGGGAGGTGTTGGCAGCTTAACACCAGTGAAGGCTTGGCCAAAATTTGCTGATTTTGTTGTGCTGATCTAGCAAATGATGGTCTGATTTTATTCAATTGTGAGTCGGGAAGGATATTCCGGCCAATTTAGTACCAAAAGAATTCATTGTGGTCCGATTTCTCTCGCCATCTCAATACCAATGAAGGAAACAGCGGGTCTCGCATGATGGCCCACGCGAGACCCAGTTCCCAGGTTGGGGAACTGCAGAGGAAGGGGGCGTGGCGAGCAGAGGCCGAACCTGACGGTCCCATGCGAAAGTGTGGGGCGCCAACGGGTGGCGGTGTCGGGCCAGCAGGGGAGCGGTAGGCGGACCGCCAGGAGACCACAGCAGTCAAACACCAAATGGCACCGCCAGGCATCAAACAATTCCCACGTCGTCGGGAGGCGTCACAGTTGCAGGGTGCCGTGTCGGCCGTGGCATATTGTAGTGAGCCTCAGGCATGCTGGGCAGACCAGCAACGAACGGGTCAGAGGTGGGACAGACGGGCAGTCAAGAGAGAGACGCAAGCGGAACGGGCAGGGGACGTCTGCCGGGTTGCACACGCACGAAGGAGATGGGGGGACGTCTGCCGGGTTGCACACACACAAGAGAGAGAGAGAGAGAGAGAGAGAGAGAGAGAGAGAGAGAGAGAGAGAGAGAGAGAGAGAGAGAGAGAGAGAGCTCTTCCTCCTCGCACGATCTGATTTGTGCATCTGGTCGGAATGGCGGACGAAGGTGAGTCACTCCTCCCCCTCTTCCAACCTCCTCCTCCCCCTTGCACGACCTCCTCCTTCCCCTTGCACGACCTCGTCCTTCCCCTGGCACGATCTCCTCCTCTCACATCGTCTTCCCACCTTCTCCTCCCCTCGCACAACCTTCTCCCACCTCTCCTCTGACGTCATCCAGGTCGTCCTCCTCGAGCGACCTCCTCCTCCCCCTCATGTGTCCTCTTCCCACTTCCTCAGCCGACTTTCCGCGAATAGAACGTGCCGTCATTAACGCTGTATGTAGATTGAAAGCTGGCCAAAACAGGCATAATGACGGTGTGTTCTATTCAGGGGAAAGAACCTCCTCCTCCGCCCTGCAGCACCTCCTCCTCCTGCTCGTACGATCTCCTCCCTGTCCTTGCACGACCTGCTCTTTCTCCTCGGACATCATCTTCCAACCTCCACCTCTCTTCTCACACCATAAACCTCTCCTTGCCTTGCCCCTTCTCCTTCTGAACCTGGGAAAGTTCGGCGTCAACGTAAGTGACGTTTCACTTGCTCGATTCTTGGTTGCGGGAGGACGAGCAGGAGCAGGAGGAGCGGGAAGAGGACGCAGAGGATGACCAGTGGGATGAACGGGCATCTGCCCTGTCTCCACCTTCCATCCTGCCCCTCCTGCTCATCCTCCCGCTCCTCCCGTGGCACAACGAGTGGAGGAGAAGCAGGAGAGAGTGCCTTGCTGCTTTTTTTTTTTTTACCATCTTTCATTCCTTGCTGCTTTTTTTTTTTGCTGTTTTTTTTTTTTTTTGCTGTAGGTAGAGTGGCATGACAACGAGCCATATGAGGAAGGGCGCCACGACGAGGGGAGGAGGACAAGGAAGGGGGAGGGGGATCTGGCCCGCCGGGACACTGACGACATCGACTCCACAATGTCTGCCACACAACAGAGGACGACTCTGAACAACAACGCCAACAGCCCTCCGGCACGGCAGAACGCGCCTGCTCCTCCGCCCTCCGGCAAGGCGAAAGACGCCTCAGGACAACAAGAAATGACGCCGGCAGAAGCAAAGCGATCACACAAACGGTCGCACAGACACGACGAGAAACCAGCGATCAACATAACAACACCAACCTCCTGCACCGCCCCGCCTGCTGTACATGCTCCTCCGCCCTAAATGCCCCCCCCTCTCTCCGGCTGCAGTGTGGCTGCGGCGGGTCCACTTGTGGTACCAGAATAACTCATTGTGATCCATCGTGTTCTCTTGGCTGCACTCACTGCTTAGTATTTAATGGGCTGACGCTTTGCAAGGGAGATCTGTCGACACTGTCACAGGATTACCATATGTGTATACATGGGCAATCTTTCTCATTACAGAATGTGTGTCTGTATGTAGACGGATTGTGCGTCTATATGTACGTGTCTAGCAATTGATGGTCTGACAACGAGGGCTGCATGTGTCTCTGCAATCTTCCCCTGCTCTACAGTCGTACCCATAACTGTTTCATTGACCTGGGTGAGCACAGAAGGACGTACAGAATTGAAGTTGTTCATCAGTGGGAGTACGGGATTGAACATACATTAAGTGAACCAATTGACCAAGGGGAGTACAGGATTGGACTTACACCAGTGGGAATACGTGATTAAACTTGGTACAGATTTGAAGTTCTGAAGTCATTCCTGTGGGAATATGGAATTGAACTTATACTGACTGAACCATGTTAAAGCAAACTTTTTCTGATCCATTTGCCAGGGACACTGTACTTGAAGACAACACTGATTTGATGCATATGTGTGTGTGTG